AGAATTAACCTCTGCATATATGAATACGTTTTCACTTAACCTTGTATAGTCTATTATTGATGCCTCTATTTTTCTACTATATTTTCATCTGATTCTTCTGGGTTTCATAAGTACATTTTCTTTTGGATTTCAAAATTATATTGTCAAATAATGATAATTTTATATTGACCTAATAATGATTTTTCAATAATTGCTGAAATCAAATTTTTATATTCTGCCTTGTTACATGTGATAAAATTCCACAATCATCTTAACTTGGGGAGATACTTGTGCCATCATTTTTTTTAACCTTAATTGAATTTGATAATAATGCCATCAGATTTTCATTTTTTAAATTATTAACTACTTGTTTGAGATAGTTATTGTTTATCTCATTAGAAAAAATACTTTTCATAAATAGACAGTGGTTTTAAATATTGCCTAATGTCATTCTGGATTCAATTAAAAGATACTTTAATTCTTTTTAAAAAGAAAGACATTGACCCAGTACCCTTTCAATTATGGGACCCCAAATTGTTTTCCCTATTTAGTGATAATGCTCTATTCTTTCAATATACTATTAAAACTAGATTGCTGACATTTTGAGAGAGTTGGAGATGCTTGTCTTTAAAAATCCCTGGTGGCACAAGTGGTTAAGTATTCAATGGCTAATCTTAAGGTCAGTGTTCCTAACCCACCAATTTCTCCAAAGGAGAAATCTGTGCCAGTCTGCTTCTGTAAAGATCCCGGCCCCGGAAACCCTGTGGGGCAGCTCTATTCTGTCTTCTACTATTGCTATGCATTAGAATCTTTCTAAAATCCTATTTTAGAATCAATGTTGTTTTAGCTTTTTCATTGTGCTAGGGAAATGTAGCTCTAATTCTTGGGAAAATTTGTCATTTCTCTGTTCCCAGGAACTTATCCCTTAATGATATTTTAATTGTATAGCTGTAGAATCATTCACTGTATTTTTTTAATACAGTTGTCTCGGTGTCCCTGAGGGAGTGATTTCAGGACCCCCTTGTATACATAAACCTGTAGATGCTTATGTACCATATATAAAATGATGTAGTATTTGCATATAACTTGCTCAAATCCTCCCTAATACTTTAAAGCATCTCTAGAAAATGTGTAATAACCAATATAATATAAATGGCCTGTAAATATCACGTTACATTCCCTCTTAGGAATGTCTTTGATCACTTCATTGCCTTTTTACTTTCTCTAAATACTTTCCATTCCTGGTTGGTTGACTCCACTAATGGAAAATTGAGGGTATGGAGGGCCAATGTTTTGCCCCATTTTAAGTTACATTTATATATAAACAAGCTCTTAGATAGAATTATAAATTCTGCTTATTTTATAAGCCCTTAAGTTCTATGTTTATCTTTAATGAGTTTTAGATGAATCTTATTCAGATATTTCTGATGTTACATTTTACGTTTTGTTAGTAAATGAATGACGTGGGATATGAGTGGTTATCGAGGAGGAAAATATAATCACTAAGGTATTGTACACAAGTTGGAGTAAAGTTTTGTCCCTTAAATAATAATTTTTTAAAGGCTGCAGATTATGTTTTTCCTCAGCACATTGCTCACCCTGGGAGTTTCTTATAAATCCTACTATAAGATTACCCTAGGCCGCAATTAGAGCAGGAGAGACCAGTCCCTAGGAAAGGACATCGTGCTTGCTAAAGTAGAGGGAGGAGCTGCAAAGTGTTCTGGGCAGTGTTTCATTTGGCTTTGATATAGTACAATGAGTTGAAACTAACTTGACTGCACATAACCACAGCACTTGATAACAGATTATATCTGAAGGACATAAGACCAGAGGCATAGTGTGCCCAAAGAGTAGTATTGGCCATTTGTCTCCCGTCTGAGTTGTACTGCAGTATTCATTTGAAGTATAGCCAAAGGACAAAAAGATGACTTCCGTATTGTATAGGTGCCCCAAGGGCTCCTTTTATGGCCTAAAGGATACAATATTTCTTGTAACAACCTAGGGCATAAATTCCTGATCCCTCAAAGGAATAAGCACAGTTACAAGTACCACTATACTCAAAGAACTTCCAAAAAATGGCTTTCTTTCCTATCGATATCTTCTCCCCATTCCAAAGACATTTACATGTCAGGAACTATTTTTTCTCAAAGCAATGTAGCTGGGGACCATAGGTAACAGTCTACTTACATCAGATTTCAGGGAGAATGGAGCTTTAATTAACCAAAAGCCAAATGCTCATTCAGAATAGACAAGATTAATTCAAGCTCTATCAATATTTTACTTTGTTACTGCTCGGGGGTTTTATTTGTGTTTTGCGTTTATATTTTTTTTGTCTGGGTATTTTTTTCTTTATATAAAATCCAGAAGCAAGTTGACAGAGACAGTTTCATGGAGTTTGGGGGAGATTATGGGGAAATGGGAAGCTAATGAGTACAAAAAAGAAGATGTTCTAAAATCGATTGTGATGAATATTGAACAGTGTTTTTTAGTATGTTTACACTATTGAATTGCATGATCTGTGAATTTTATAGCAATACAACTTTAAAAATTAAAAAAATAATTAACAAAAACATCAAATACTTGTCTACTAATTTTAAACAATATTTATCAATGGAATATTTGCCCTTCAAACTCACTGCTATCAAGTTGATCCAATTCATAGGGACAAATATTTCCCTAAACTTAAAATTTTTCCAGTATTTAAAATTAGAAACTTGAATCCTATTTTCTTTTTTTGCTCTCTTTCTTTTCACAGGTAAAATTTGGTAATTATGCTTTTGTATGGGATGCAGCTGTACTGGAATACGTGGCTATCAACGACGCAGATTGCTCGTTTTACACCATTGGGAACACTGTCGCTGACCGGGGATATGGCATCGCACTGCAGCATGGCAGTCCTTACCGCGATGTTTTTTCACAAAGGTAAGGTTTGTGTAAAGACTAAATCAGGAAACAGAAGTATTTAGAGCAGGGCCATTCACTGGTTTACACAGCCTGGTTTATGACTTTTTGTTTTCTCAGTTTGGAGAAGCATTTCATGTACAGCAACAGCCAAAGAAAAGTAGCTGTGAGTGGTTCGATCAATAAAACAGTAATTTTATAGAGCATTTACTGAATTCTTCATAAAGAGGTTTTTTTCTCATAAAGGGGGAAAGTAGTTTACTTCATATAACTGATTAGACTCTTGAAAATACTGATAGAAAAACCAGAGCTAAGCGTGTCAGTAATCTCTGTGAGAACTTTAAGATCGGCCCGGGCTCGGAGTCTGGAGAGGGCGGAAAGAGTCATTTGTTTCTGAGAACACCAACGGGTGACATAAACTCGAGGGCCGAGCCAGGCGCCGCGGCACTGCAGCACAGTAATAAAGCTGTGCCTATCTGAAGTTTGCCAGGCAAACGGGTACGAATCTTAGCCTTTCCCTTGTTGGCAAAGCAGGCATAGTACTCTGTCGTGAAATCCAAGAAAACAGACTTTTAAGTACTCATCTTCAGATAAGATTTCTTTTGGCATTTATAATTTTCTTCTTAGAAGAGAATTCTTTTAAAAGGAAATTTTTGAAATGTGTATATTGAAAATTAACAATACACATGAAAATCTTGGATATTAAAAGAAATTCCCAAATGAATACTTCATTTCCTTCTATCTACTAACAAACAAACTGATATATGAGACATAGTATCTCCCAGTTGGAAGTATATCACTTAACATAATTAGTACACTTTTGTTTGTCTGTTCTTCAATGTAATCCACCGAAGCTAAACCTACTCCAAAACTAAACCTTGTTCTATATCGCACAAGGTCTGAAGCAACCAACTATTTGAGTGTTATTTTCCCCAGTGTAAAGAAAATAGACTATAATTCTCAGATAAAAAAGTAAAAATAAAAATTACAAATCAAACCCTGTGTTAGTCACCTTGTGCTTGTAGTGAACAATACCAGGACTTACTTAATGGTCAAAACTTAAGTAAAATCCTTCATGAATCATGAGGACTGTGCATTGGCTGTGTTCTTCCGCGAGCTGTGGGTCCCCTGCAAGTCAGCGCTTTGTATCTCCTCAATCCAGGGCTCAGCTTAGAAAGAGCTGTATCCGAGTTCTGTTGTTCTCATTGCAGAACAATGGCAAAAGATTCTGCCTTTTACCAAAAACAGTGATAAACGAAGCTAGCATTCAGCGTTTAGGTGCTTGGAACTATTAGTGGCAGGATGCTCCCAGAGCATGGAGAGTGGCTTCCCCAAGCTCCTTCCCTAGGAATGTCACGAAACACTTGAGCTTTAAGCTCCCATAGCATTGAACTCTATCTGTGAACGCAGTATGAATAGGTTGATGTTTTGTTAGGTTTTATGAGTTAAATTTATGATTGGATAAGTCATTTTTGGCCTGGGAAGGCCCAAAGAAGTCCCCCTGTAAGTTAATATCGATTGCTTTCTTGTTGTATGCAATTTTGCCTTATTTTAGCTCCGTTGTTGGTCTTTTATGCAAAAAATTAAGTCTAACCAAATGAGTATATGAACATAATAGCAATTAAAGAAATGTTTACTGAATCACACCAAGTGCTCCATTTCTCATTGTCCCTGTGACAGATTTTAATTCTGAGGAAATGCTCTCCAGTGAACGCTGACAAGTGGGATGAAGCATTGGGCGTCCTTGTTCTTTTGTTTGGTATTCATGATCAATGCCAGCAACTTACGTGGCTCCTTTCTGCGGAGCTTCTTAATAATGATGCCCTGCCTTCTGGTCCCCTGCAGTCTGGAAGGAGAGGGATGCAGGGAGGAGACACGTTCTGGCAATCATCAATGCGCCAACTCATCTCTTTACGCATGCGCCCCATTCGTCAAGGACCCAGACTCTCTCCCTGATTTCAGGAAACATTTGCACTCAGTTTTTGCAAAGCCATTGGGGAAAAGAAATATTCTCTTTTTTATTTACTGATTTTTAAAAATCACAAGGGCTGTCAAATGTAACCATTCTCATACATTTGGAAAGTACTGCATTCCTCTTGGATGCTTTCATTTACCCTGGGCTCTGGATTAAACTAGGTCACAGATAGATTTGGTGGTAAACGTCCATTAAAATTAGTGTTCTGAGTGATTTTTAATAAGTGAATATTAATTATTTTCAAGCAACCATGCACCTCCACACAACTTCTAAGTTATACAAGTACTCTAATAATGTTTAATAGACACTAGTACTTAGTAACAAATGACACATAGGCATACTGTGATGACATGTGTGCTCTGATCCTTGAACGTATACCTACTGCTACAAGGTCTAGTTCCAGCTCACAGCGATTCGCTAGAACGAAATGGAACCAGAGCTTTGAGTTCCAAGGCTGGAAATCTCTTTGTCAGCAGAAAGCCCAAGCTTTTTCCCGAGAACCTGCGGATTGATTTGAAATGCTGGCCTTGCAAGTAGCAGCCTAACACATAACCCAATATGCAAACCACTCCTTTGGCTCCTCATATACAGGGTTAGGTAAAGTTTTTGAAATGTTAAAAAACTGTCATTGAGCCGATTCTAATTCATAGTACACCTGCATAGGGTTTCCAACACTGTAAATCTTTATGAGTTGGACTTCTAACAAGAAAGCCAATAGTTTATCTCCACCAGCAGCTCCTTCGGGAAAGATGAGACTTTCTGCTCCCACAGTATCTACAGCCTTGAAAACCGTAGGTGTAGTTCTGCTTCGGACCACAGTATTGCTATGAGTGGAATCTATTCAATGGCAGTGAGTAGGCTTTTATTTGGGGTGGGGGAGGGCTGGAAGAGGGAATATTTGCTAATTTCCACTGAGTATCTAGGAACCTTTGTGGTGTAGGAGTTATAGTGTTTGGCAACTAACCAAAGGGTCAATGTTTCCAACTCATCAAAGAAAAATGTAACACAATGCTAACCTAAAGATTTATAACTTTGGAAATTCTATCCTCTTGCATCACTATGTATCAAGATTGAATCAATGGCAGCGGGGTTGGTTTATTTGGGATTGGGCGCAGGAGTAGGATAGGTCTGTCTCTCTAAGAGGCTGATATATCATAATCACTTCAAAACACTTACATGAGATATTCGACTGTGTGGATCTTAATAAACTTTGGATAACTTTGGAAATAACGGTAGTATCAGAACACTCCATTGTGTTCATTCCACACTTGTATATGGATCAAGTGGCAGTTGTGCGAACAGAACAAGGGAATGATGCATGATTTAAAAAGAGGAAAGGTGTGCATCAGGGTTGTAGCCTCTTACCATACATGTTCAATCTGTATCAATGAAGCTGGTATATATGAAGAAGAATGTGGCATACGGATTAGAAGAAGACTTATTGATGGCCTGTAATAGGCAGATGACAAAACCTTGCTTGCTGAAAGTGAGAAAGAGTTGAGGCACATGCTGATGAAGATCAAAGATTATAGCCTTCAGTATGGATTACAACTTAATGTGAGGAAGACCCAAATCCTCACAACTGCACCAAAAGGTTATATCGTGATCAGTGGAGGACAGGTTGAAATTGTGAAGGATTCTGTCATACTTGGATCCATAATCATTTTTCATGGAAGCAGCAGTCTATAGATCAAAAGATATATTGCATTAAGTACATATGAAGCATAAGACCTCTTTAGAATATTAAAAAGCAAGGAAGCTACTTTGAGGACTAAGGTGGGCCTGACTCAGCAAGCATGGCATTTCCATTGCCACACATGCATGTGAAAGTTGGATATTAAATAAGGAAGAGCATGGAAGAATGGATGCATTTGAATTGTGGTTCCAGAGAAGAACACCGAAAGTACCATGGCCAACCAGAAGGGCAAACGGATCTGTGTTGGAAGACGTGTGGCCAGAGTGCTCCTTGGAGACAAGGATGGTGAGACTTCATCTTATATACTTCGGACATGCTGTCGGGAAAGACCAGTCCCTGGAGAAGGAAGGGCATCGTGCTTGGTAGAAGGGAAGGACAGTGGGAAAGAGGAAGGCCCTCAATGACAAGGAGTGACACAGTGGCTGCATGAGTGGGCTCAGGCATGGGAGCAGGTGTGAGGGTGGAGCAGGGCCTTCGTGCAGTGTTTCATTCGGTTGTGCATAGGGTCATTAGCAACTCAGTGGCACCTAACAGCAGCACAGTGAGATTTATGTCCACTTTCATTTGCGTAAATATAGAGCCCAGCCGTCAACTGAGTCATAGCCTGCAGATGGCTCCCAGAAGGTGTGGTCTTTTTATAACAGGGAGATTAAGGACCTTTCCTCTCTCGCTGCCCAATCACTTCCTGATTGTTGAGACTCTGTACCTTCCCCCAGCGGTGGCTGATGTGAGTCACCCAACCCTGGAAGCTGTTGGCATCCTGCCCTGTTTCCGCTGACCTGGGATTCACACAAGTCTGTACCTACCATAGTCTGAAGAGGGCTCCAGCTAGCATCCGACCGCTGGACTTAGTTAGACTGGACTGAGATGCTTTCTTGATATAAGATTACATCTCGATATAAAGCGCTTTCTTATACACACATGATTCTCACTGATTTTTGTTTCTCTAGAAAACCCAATCTAGCACAGTAGCCTAGAAGAATTTTGCTAAATAGCTTGGCAGCAGCATTTAAAGCATTCCTATATTCTATCAGGGAAGCCGTATACTGCTGTGATAGATAATTCTTACAATGACTTCTCTATCTGGCACTTGTTCATAATTGCTTTGTATGGCCCCTACCTTATAATAGTTCTTATTATTAAAATGTATTTAGTCAAATGTTACTTGATTATAGATAGTTAAGAATAAGAAAGAACTGAATTTTTCTGAATGGTTTTATTATGCTATTAATGCAATTAATTCCAGCGTGCTCTTAGAATCTTAACTAGTTAGGTGACTAAAGAGATAACAAAGCAATTCTTATGGAGCATTTAGAAAGCTGCCTCTGTTTGATATCTTTATGAGATTCA